GCTTCGTTTTAAGGTGGTAAAACAAATTACTTGTATTTATTCCTTTCTACACACTTTGCAGATTATTTTTTCTGCACTCCACCTGTTTAATCTGTGCTCGCTCTGACGGGGTGACAATCATTATAGTCACGCTTTGGAGTACGCTCGCATTCGGCCGTGCGTCGTCGCGCTATGACCGCAGGAAAAACGAGGTCCAGACTGATTTTTTGTGCGTCCCACCTGAGCACTGACTTCACCTGCTCTGACAGTCGCCTCGTTGCGTGGAAATGAATGGAGAGCGAGCAACGTCGCCTCCCGTGTGTTGAGCCCTTCACACATGCCGCGGCGCACGCTCCTCCAGCTGCAGGCAGTGTGGTCGGTCGGCATCCGACCGGAGGATGCGCCGTCACATAAATATGTAAACAGTTCGGCGTTCATTTTCACACACCCGAACCAGGTTCGGATAAGTTATGTTTTTTTTTCCCCTCTTCATTTGCACTCTCAGCCACGATGCTTCCAGCTTCCTCTGTTTTGACTCCAGCTGGTTACATCATCAAAAAGAATTGCGCGGCTGGTTGGTAGACTACAGATCACAATCATAGGACAAATTTATATCGTTTCTACCATATATCGTTTATATCACGCATTMCTATTTAAAATGCTACATTTCTTCATTTATTTCGAACTCCTCCTTTAGTTGTCTCTGCACTCAGCACTGTTGACACAGGTGTGATGATGCAACTGACAACAGGATGGTAGAGGGTAAATTTCTACCATAGACCAACTTCACACCGTTTCTACACTCTACCGCGTATACCGCGCAGCCCTAGAGTGAATCAATGATAAAGATTTTATAGAAGCTTTAATTTATTTCTTACTTTAAATCAAAACATTTCTCTTTAGTTTTCTGGAGGCAGATTTCTGGTTTTATTTTATTTTTTATTTTTGTCAAATAAAGAAGAGCTTTCTATTTGACCCTAAACACAAATTTTACTTTAATTATTTGAGTTTTAAAGAATTTCTTCTGATTTTTTTCCTTAATCGGACTTGTTTCTTCTTAGATGGGCTCTCAGTTCGGCCAGCAGCAGCAGAACATGAGTGGTTACTGTCAGCCTGGTCAGCCTCCGTACTTCAGCCCCCCGCAGCAACAAACTGCCGCCCCCAGCCAACCGCCGTACATGCAGCCCCGCCCACTGCCGCCGCAGGTAGGCCACGAAATACAGACTCCTGTGTCACCTGTGGGATTTACATCTGTGGGGACAAAAACAAAGGAAGGATTTGTCTGTACACTTCCTGTGGTTGATTTATTTCCTTTGACGCAGGAAGTGCCACAGGAAGCATACGGGGGACGGGGCAAGTCTGCCGCTATGACTCCTGGGAAACCGAACCACGAGGACGTGAGTCTGAGCCAACAGGAGAGGCCGTCGAGTCTACCGGTAAGTCCAAACACATTGCTCGACTCGGCACGGAGAGGAGGTGGGGCTTATGACTGAAGCTCCACCTCTTGTAGTTTTTCAGCTGAGAGGAGGCGGGGCTTATTACAATTTTTCCCTCTGTTGTCTCAGAGCTGTGAAGAGGCAGAGCTTCATACTAATGTGTTGCCTTTTGTCATCTCAGCTGAGAGAAGTCTGGGCATGCTTTAGTTCCACATCTTTTCTCTTCTGAGAGGAGGCGGGGCTACATGTTTTAGCTCCACCTCTTTTTTCATCTGAGAGGAGGCGGGGCTAGATGGTTTAGCTCCACCTCTTTTCTCATCTGAGAGGAGGTGGGGCTAGATAGTTTAGCTCCACCTCTTCTCATCTGAGAGGAGGCGGGCTCTATGCCTTAGCTCCACCTCTTCTCAGCTGAGAGGAGGCGGGGCTACATGCTTTAGCTCCACCTCTTTTGTCATCTGGGAGGAGGCGGGGCTACATGCTTTAGCTCCACCTCTTTTCTCATCTGAAAGGAGGCTGGGCTACATGATTTAGCTCCACCTCTTTTCTCATCTGAGAGGAGGTGGGCTGCATGCTTTAGCTCCACCCCTTCTCATTTGAGGAGGCAGGGCTACATGCTTTAGCTCCACCTCTTCTCATCTGACAGGAGGTGGGACTACATCTCCACCTCTCTTGTCATCTAAGAGGAGGCGGGGCTACATGCTTTAGCTCCACCTCTTTTTTCATCTAAGAGGAGGCGGGGCTACATACTTTAGCTCCAACTCTTTTCTCATCTGAGAGGAGGCGGGTCTACATGCTTTAGCTCCACCTCTTCTCATCTGAGAGTAGGCAGGACTACATGCTTTAGCTCCACCTCTTCTCAACTGAGAAGAGGCAGGGCTTATGACTAAAGCATGAGTTCAAAATGACCGATGCTGTTTTTACTTGAAGTCATAGTAATGACGTGTTTGAACGACATGTTTCGATCAAATTTGTAGAAAATCACAACACAAAAGTTCTGTTAAATAATATGTTTAAAGTGATGTAAACGTTGATCTAAAGACCAGACCAGAAGTAACCTCCTGACGGTCAGACCTCTTTTTTTTGAGTTCAGTTTTCCTGCTCAGATCATTAGAGCTACTTCTTCTCAGTGTTTTGTTGATAAATTCACAGTTTTGGTGGCGACAGAGCAACAGATCATGAAGGGTCACAGCTGCCGCCTGAAGCTGGGTTATTTAAAGACCTGATTCTGACTCTGACTGTGTGACAGATTGATCCGGTTTCAGAGGCCTCCTTTTGTCCCGCGGCGCCTCGTTGTTGTCTCTGTTCTGTTGGCCTGAGATCACGCTCTGAGCGCCTGAAGCTTCCCGCTGAGTCCAACAACTGAAATTGATTTGATTTATTTATTTAACAGGAAAAGATGATTAAAAATCAAGCCTGACTCAGCATAATTGCTGTTTTACAGCAGGTTCCTGTTCTACAGCACATAAACACTCAGAATTACAGCATCACAATCACATCATTATACA